GAAGTCAGAAAAACATGGCCTGCAAGTCCTAGGTAAGACAGCTACACCTTTGTACATCCAGACAACGGGAGTGTTTTGAGAGACTCCTGTTTCTGAAGCTGCGTGACAGGCATGAACATAAGTTCGTTTCACAAGGGCATCCGCGCGAACATCCAACAGTGAGAACCTTTGAGACTTGGGAGTTCTTAGCATGCTCCCGAAAGCGTGCTCAAAGGGCCCCCTACCATTTCTCCTCTGTCTCCTTCCTGGCCGTATACAGATCTACTTCAGGTCCAAAGAATATTGTACGTCCCTGTTTTCTCAGAAAACCTGTTGTTATCCAAGCCAGGCGGGATTGATGCTTAGCGTCTTCCTGGGCTCTGCCACCTTTGCCGCCAAGGACAGAGCTGTCTGTCAGCTCCAGTCAAGAACCTTCCTGCTGGTGCTGCTGCTCCTACTAGTCAATAGCAGATGAGCAGTAGTGGCAGCAGAAGTACAAGTAGAAGAAGTGACGGTGGTCGGAGAAGTCGTTGTAGTGGTACTAGTCTTCACAGTAGCAGCAGCAAGAGTGCTAGTAGCACCTGGCAGTCATGCAGGTCGCCTGCATGTCACGCGCTACTTATGGGATGTCTTGGGTGGTGGGGGGGGGTCAGAATAACGCTTGGTTTCAGTTTGGTCATTTTATGTCTCGGGGTTTGGGTGCGTTATCAGATCCTCTTGGGGTTTCAGTTGGGATTGGCAGGGTCATAGAAACGTCCAGTTGAAGTTTCAGTTTGGTCGTAGCCCGAAACTGATTGCTCAGCATAATTTGCGACTAAACAGAAACAGAGTAGAGTTCTGTTGTCATGTTGGTTGTCTTGGGGCTTGCGTAGTCACAACGGTTCTTTGTTGAAATTTCAGTTTGGTTGAAACAAGACGCTCGGCAATGCGGTTTGAGGCTTGAGTTTTTGACAGTCTGGCTTATAGCCTGAAACCAGTCAATCCCAGCAACTTAAACAATACTTCAACAAGCAGCGAAGTTGCCTAGATTGGAGAAGCTATGATAGACGTTCTTGTAATTTCTAGCTTGCCTCACAGGCCCACGAAACTAGAACACCCTGACCTAGCAGTAAGAGTAGGAGTGGGAGGAGGAGGAGGAGGAGTAGCAGTGGCAGTAGCAGCAGCAGCAGCAGTGGCAGTAGCAGTGGCAGTAGTAGTAGTAGTAGTAGTAGCAGCAGCAGCAGCAGCACCAGCAGTGAGTAGTGGCAGCAGCAGCAGCAGCCCCACCAGGCATGAGCAGGTTAGGTTGCGGAAGCTGGCATTTGTGAGGACAGTGTCCTCCGGTTCTTGACCAGCTCTGGTCCGGTCCAGGCAGTTCCTGGCAAAGCTTTCAGTACGGGATTAGGATTTGGTGCTTGAGAGCTATGGGAAGTTGTGAGACTCCTACCTCGGCCATGCACAAGCAGGCTCTCAAGATCAGCTTTGCACATGCAATTGTCCTTGCTGACAGCTGAATGGCAAGCCCTGATCTATTTTGGTTCCTGGTCCTATAATGGTCCTGACTCTGATTCCAAATGAAGCTCTGGAAAGTCATGACCTGCAGGTCTTGGCTGGCGCAGTGATGCCATGGGTGCTTGGGGCACAGGCTGTCAAAGCCATGGCCTATCCTACAAATGGGGCACTCATGGGAGCCCTGGCAACTTGACTGGATTCAGGCCCTGCCTTTCAGACTGCTTGGCCACAAGGTTTTGTTCTAGACGGCGACTGCACTGGCTGCGCTCAGGTTCGGAAACCTGTAGCTGTAAGCTGGACCTACAGAACACATTGAACATGATGATGGCCAACATCGGCATTACCAGAACCCTGAGGCTGCTAACAAGAAACGTTACAACCCACAGTGCTCAACGCAACGCAGGACGCCCGAAAACTACTTAGCATAGCCTCTTGGGGATCTCTCATTTCTCTAAGGATTGGATTTGCTCTGCCTACATTCTTTGGGCTGCCAGCTTTCTGGGGCAGTTCCTGTGCAAGATCAGCAGCCCAAGCCACTTTGTTCAACAGCTCGTTTACTTTTTTTGCTTACTGGAGGCTAGTAAGGAATGAGTGAATATAATGTTCGATAGAGACTATATGTGGATTGTATTCTTTCATCTCCCTTCTAAACACTAGCAGGTTTTTATCTTTTCTCCTGGGCTGTTTGGATCATTGTTGCAATTATTACATTTTTTGGCCGTTGTCCTTTTCTTGCTCAAGATTGCGCAGGAACCATCGGAAGCTTTCAAGGTCAGCTGGTGAATTCCTTTGTACCATCGTAGGAATTGTAGGGTTACCGTTAAATCCACTTCCTTTGAACTCCATTGCCGGATTATAATAAATGCCAAGGCATCATTGAGGCGTTTTGCAACCTGACTCGACTTTTGCTCTTGCTTGCCTTGAGATTTTTGCTCGTGGTATTGCACGTTTTTGTTGGCATTCGTCCAGGCCTGGTTTTGGCCCCCGCTTGCATATGAAGTCCCTTGAGACGGTTTTGGGTGAGATTCAGGCTTGGAAAACAAACAACAGAAGCGCGCGTCCATACAACAAGCCTGGGGGGTAGTCAGTAGGGAAGGGATCCTTCAAATGCCAAAGCTCTCAACCCTTTACATCCATTCCCAACTGAGTCCTAATCCTAAAGGAGATTGTCAGCCCAACCGTTGCAGAGCTCTGACTCTTGTGTTTGCACTTTCCCCTGCTAGTCCCTTGTGCCCAAATCAAAAGAGCTCCAACTGAGTGACGGGTCGTGGGCCCTTGTTTTACCAGGCTCCGCAGATCCTCGCGGTGCCTTGGTGCTTCTTGGCTGCCTTGACTCATGGACGCAGGGGTCTTGGGTGCCACTTTCGACAGAAGCCCTGGAACTTGTGCCGAGGAGCCTCTGGTTTGGACTCATTGGTCCTGCTGTCATGTTTGCTTCATTCGCCAAGCGCCATGGTTTTGGGGGTGCTAGGACCTGCTAGGAACATGAATGTGAAGTTGTTCCCCTCAGTTTTCCACGTGATGTGCCATGCCCCAGGCAATCTTTAATTGCAGCTGTTTCTGTTCTGGGAGTTGCTTGGCGCCCGCCCTGCGACTGCTTCGCCCATGGCTGTCAAATTGCCCAGCACACAGCTTGACTCCGTTTGTGCGAACCACCATTGCCTTCGAATTCTACCGGCAATCTTCATTTCTGTCGTGAAATGCCTGCTCTTCTTGTGGCACTTTTGAGGACATGGGTACTGCTCGTACTGCCGGCATGGGCCCTTCAACCGCAGGAGCTCCAAGATTGGCGACATGGCTGCCAGTTATGGCAACCGTCTTGCTATCGATCAGACTTGCTAGATTGGTATGATCCGTCATCTCCTTCCTTCTCAATATGGCAAGACTCGCAGCAAGTAGTTTTCAAAACTGCTCTCCCGGTTCTTTGCACACTATTATTGTTCTCGAATGGGGTCCCTTAAAAAATGCAGTGATCAAGAATCCTTGTTGTAGGGGGATCCAAAGGGACCCATAATGTTTGGACCGCACCCTCCCCCCCATGGTTTCAGGTTGCATCGTGCAAGGATCCAGCGATCGTCATAGGACACTATTGAACTCATCGGCTTCCAAAGTAGTGCGATTATCTGCAGGCATACAGAGTCAAAAGAGAAAGAGGAGGGAACAACAAAAAGGACAACGAGGCGGGCAAAGAGGCAAAAGGCATGAAGGGGAAGACCAGGTATGGGACCCCTGACGCTCCCAATTTGCCTAAATGCATGCTACCATGCTACTAGTCCAAGGACACCTTTTTTCCATTGCGGACCGACTGCCGCAGTTAAGTCTTTACAGAAACTCATTGCAAGCTTGGATAAGGCCCAACTTCGATTCTACGATTCCATCCAACAGCTGCTTCAATCGTCGCTACGAAGATCATTGATCATAGTTTCCATTTCATTTTTCATTGTCTCTCCGTATTTTCCATCATTCCTACATACTCGAGGAGTGCCCATGGAGCTACCCCCCAACATTACTTTCGAGAGTAAACATTGTAGACTTCTGGGACCAACCGGGGCCAATGTGGGGTCTAATCATTTTACCGTTGAAAGGATTTTACTGTTGAAAGGGAACCGCAAAAGAGTTGCAACTTACTACGGTAAGCGATGATGCTCATCGGGAGCTAATAGTCATTTTTTAGCCCTGCGAAGATACGGACAACGCCTGCCAGGTTCATCGTATGCGGTTTGCGATGACAGGGGTTAGTTTTGCGCACCAGCCTAGACATGAGAAACAGCCAGAGTTCAATATCTTTCCTTGAACATCATCAGCATCAGGCATTGCGAGAGAGAGGGACAGCGGCCATCGGGTGTAACCCCGGCGAGTGTCTGAGGGCACTCGCATGGCCAGTAGAAAAAGAAGGGACGGCGTCTCACAGCCCAGTCGGGAAGGAAACGGTCTTTGGTTGGAACCAGAGGACCTAGGTATGCGTGTCTATGCAAGGCTGAACCTCATCTGCCCTGGTCCTGACGGGCGATCATTCCGGGCCTTCTCCATGGAGCCTTGTGCGAGGCTTCGGGTGTTACCCGAGAGGTGCAAAGGCCCCCTTTAGCCTCAAGATCCCGAAGAAGAAGAGAGCGGTCCCATCGTATTTTGAGGTTGTTGATGCTCTGGGAGGCAAAGCCCAACAGGAGCAGGGCGAACTCCCTGCCATCTTCAACACCCGCACAAAAGAAAGAAAGGTCCCATCGTTGGACCGCCAAACGCGCTAGCGCCAGTTGCACCGCAAAAGCCGTACGCTGATGAAGGAAGACATTCATTGTGCAATTCCTTCGTTGCCCCAGCGTCGGCACGTGCTGTCGAATCAGCATGGTCATGACCAATATGCTTGAACCGCGTACGATTGCATGCAGAAGTTTGACGCGCGGGAACTTGTTCAAACGGGAGCCAAGCAAAACATACCAACCTCAGCAGACTCATCAACCAGCTGGATCGCATCTGCAAGCAGCACCCCCATACTTCTTGACTGAAGGTTTGCCTCGCCGAATGGGCTTGCAATGACAGCAGGTGACGGGGCCGTTGTTCAAGTAAATCCTTTGCTGGTGGTAGGATTGATATTTTAAAGGGTGTTTAGTTGGAGTTCTACAATGAGACCCATCCTCTAGGAATGACGTAGGATCCCGGCTGTACATAGCAGGTCGCCCTAAGTTTTCTTCATGGTCGTGATTGAAAGGCTTTACGTACTGTAGCCCAGGTGACGCTGCGGCTGCGGCCAAACAGTCTCTCCCCCGGCACTTCAGGATCTCATGTGTTTGGACATCACGGAATAGCGGGTCCACACAGTCGCTGACCTGTTAGGGCCTTCCTCATCCTCTCGCTAATGCTAAACTGCTAAAGTGCTTTAGATGAACAGGCTGTAGAAAAATTAGCCATTTCTGACAGATACCACCACTGATGTAAGTGCTAAGGCATTGGAACGCTCTTGCCCAATGCGGGGTGGAGATCAGAAACCTCCAGTCATTGAAGGAGCCAGAGGGATTCAATGGCGCACTGATGCTCTTAGGCAGCAACCAAGCAGCATGTGCGCGCCAGACCGCGCTGACGTTGGTGGCGACGGGTTCGCGCTTAAAGTGCGGGAGTGAAACCATGCGCCATTGTGTGCTCATGCACTTGTGCGATTAATGTATCCAGATGTGTTATCACCGGCCTCGCCATAAGCTTGAACTCTGAGACCTCAAAGTGCCCAAGCATGGCCTGCCTTGCCCCAAAATGTGTGCCCTTTCGCACGGTGCAGGATACACTGTCCGACCGGAACTCCATCGATCTTCCCCTGCCAGACATCAGAGCGCAGATCGTGTTGCTGGCAGAGCAGCATGTGGCGCCGGAGAAGCTGTCGGAACCCCAGCCACACTGCTTTTTGCCCATGCTGTGCCAGGCACCAAGGAGCAAAAAGGCTGACCGAGAGACGAGCATCACTGGGAACAACCGCTCACAAGCGCCAGCAAACAGGCATAGATTTTTCTGAGATTCTGACAGCCACACAGCTACAGGCAGCAGCTTTACCTGGCCTTGTCGTCAGGATACACCTTGTGCCTGAGCCGCACCAAAGGTGGCGAAAGGGACATGGTACGATGCTCACAGCTTTCACTTTGCAGAAGAGTGGTTCCTCACATAAGGAGCACTCTCTTGCACGAAGAGGGATCCTAGTGAAATTGCCCAGGAGTGGTGGTCTGGCGCTGCCCAAGGACCAGGCGCAGACCATGATGCACCTCCTAGCTTTGAAGAGGGCAGAGCCCGACCAGCTGAAAGCCCTCTACCAGGCCATGGGGCTTGGAAGAGGGATTGAGGGATGAGTAACGAGAAGAGCTGCAATTCTATGGTTGTCTGCTCATGAACACCTGCTTTTTAATTCTTGCCAGGGCTCAGCAGTAGTCTTGTGTAAAGCCTTGCGATGGGGGTGTAGAAGAGGATCCCAGCTGATGCTCAATGATGCAGAGCCTTTTGAGATTCCTGCCCACTGTTTTGGAGGCTCCGTGCAAAGTTTTGTGCGTCTTCTTGCACGGGACCCCGCAACCCCTGATTTAAGCTTTTTAAAGCCCCTCATAGTGCATGAAGTAATCTGGAAGAGTCAGGCGGGCAGGAGAACATGAAGTAATCATGTACAGAGCAGCAGAGGTTATGTACGGCTATTCTGGCCTGGGCTTTGCCAAGTCCCTGGCGCAGACCACCTCCATCCAGCTGGCTCAGGCTGGAGCAGATTCTGCCCACTTCAAGGAGCCCGTTGTATCCTCCATCCGTGCCCGCTAGAAAATGGGTAGTTACAAAGCCTGAGAGCTACGATTATCATCATTCATGCTCGATTTCTTCTGCAAAGACGGCACGGATCAGGAGACCTACATCGCTTCAGCGCCTCGCGGGCAGGCGACCGCCATCGCGGAAGCCTCGAAGGCGGCTGTAACCAATGACCTCTCAGGCCTGGATGAGCAGAAAATCGCGCAAGGACCTCTTTTCTACTGTCATAGCTACTGTGCTGTGCTGCTGCAAGCACTACAAAGATGACAGTATCAAATTGATACAAGTAATCAAATCCTTCCCGTCAGCATGACTCACATGATGGAATGACTTCCCCAGGCATGGTCAGACGCTATGCCTTGGATGCCAAACCCTACACAGCCGGAGAGTTCCTCCAGCATTATGGCGAAGGTGAGATGGGTGATGCTGTGGTTCGTTCGTTGCTCCTGAAGCTTCAGCGGCGCCTGGGTTTTGTGGGATATACTCGGAGAAAGATGTCCATTGCCTGCCGTTTTCTCAAGTCTGACTCCGATGAGACACTGTGCGGAGGAGCCTGGCTTAACCAGTGGCTCGACAGCCCCCTGGAGAAGCGCCTCTCCAACGACCGACGCGCATACACCGCCAACCAGTTCTCCAGGCGTGGTAGGTATGAAGCCGCAGGCCACAGCAGTGTAAGTGCTTTGGGTGGTAAGGCATTTCCCGAGCACGTGGATCGCCATGTACAAGGGCAGCCAGGAGGCTACGCAGATTCGGTTGGCCGAGGATGGCAAGGCCCAGGGCAGCAAGTTGCATCCTCAAAAAAGGGATTTTGCTTCACGCCTGTCAGCCCTACACAATGGCCGAATACCAGCAGTATTACGGAGACCAGTGGCACGACAAGTGGAGCGTTAGGACCTCAGACGTTGCAAGCAATCTTGCAGACTTTTGGGGTATCCAGGACATGGCACCGAGGTTGCACCTGAGCTCTCCTGCAAAGAATGCGCGCCCTACATCCCCATCACGGTGCTAGTTTGAGCAGCTGTGGCCTGGAACTCCTTGATGACTTGGTTATGTAACATTGAAGCTGAGCGGACTTGCTTCTCAGCTTGCACTGGCGCTGCCATACAGAAAAGCCACTCTTGTACACTTGCACCGTGGTGCGTCAAAGCCCAGCATGCGCCGGAAACATGCAGGGTGGAGAGAAAGTTTCTGTAGTGGAGACGAGATGCCAGGATTCTTCGGCACACAGCTGGTCCTCGGGCTTCTCAGGATATTTTCCGCACGAGGCCGTGGCGGGTGGAGTGCCAGTGGCAGTACTAAGTGACCATTTGACTTTGTGAGTCAGATTGTCATCATGAGCAAGTGGTGAGTGAATGGATGCATGTGGGTGACTAGTCACTAGTATCAGTATCATCTAGTATTTGTCATCCTCTGGTTGTTGGGGATGTCCCGCAGCGGTTTGTTTATCGCCACTACTCGGGCTCATGCTAGTGTGGCATGATGAAATGCGTGTGAGCGTAATGAAGGCACGTGAGTCTCTCTTTCCATTTTCATTCTTGCTTTCCAGTATTGCTGATGTCGAGATTAGTATGACCATCGCCGATTCTTGTTTGTAGCTCTACGGCTAGTTTCCTTCGCCATCGTCTTCTGCCGCCGTTCTTCACTTCTGTTGTTACTGGTGCGCGAGCTTATCAATGTGGAGGCCGCTGGAAAGTCATGCGCAAGTGAGAGGGTACTTGGATGCCAATGACGAGGGGAACGCATGCCTCAGCCTTCAAGCCTTTGCATCGGTGGGGGTGTGTGCTTGTTCTGTCAGGGGTCGTGATATGGAGTCATGTCGTGTAATCGCGTGGGCCCAACTGTGGTGCGATGTTGTGGGCTGTAGCACGGGAACCACTGCATGCGTGTGCAGAAGTTGGTGGCCCCAGCCACTAGAATCGAAGTCCGGCTTCCAAAGACGATGCCTGGCACAGGGAAAACGTCTAGCAAGGGTAGTTTTGGCTCTGGACCACTGGCTCTTGAGCCCTGGAAGCCCCGGAAGATGAGTGTGGCATGAATGTACATGCAACTTTTCGAAGACAAGAATGTAGCTGGATTGATGCTACCAGCTACCACCAAGGCGCTGCAGAGCAAGGAGTGGTCTCAGCGCGCCAAAGCTTGCCAGGCCGTGCTTCGCAGCGTCCCATAGACCAGTAGGCAGCAAGGGTCTATCAAGCGGCTGCGGCTGGTGTCGAACAACCCTAGACAACTCCAACATTCATGGTGACGTCCGAGCATGTAGCCACAGCCTCAGCTTCCTGATCCTGAGGCTTGTTTTGACAGGCTGCCGAGTCACAAGGATGAGAAGTAGAAGCCCGAGCAACCCGTTGTACTGGGACCCTCACAGACAATCGGCATAATACTTCCCCCTGAAGGGGTACCGAAAATGAGGAATTACTACACAATATGTTGGAGGAAGAAAGAGGGACTGCTCTTTTGGCCCTCTGCTAGGAACGCCCATTTAACATCCGGAACAGAGTAATTAGAAGCTTGCCGTTGCAGTTGGCGGCAAGCATCGGTGGTCCAGCGGCGCCTGTCTGCGCTTGAGCCTCGGTGTGTTTTTTGGCTTGGGGAATGAAGGTATGTCCTGGGATTGGGGCTTAAGAACAATAGAACCAAGTTCAAAATCACAGAACAACTGGAGGTTGTTGGGATGAGGGCTATAGGGGAGTTTCTATAACGATTTGGCCCCAACAGACCTCAAACTTTGCCAATCCCTGTGTTGGAGACGCCCAAGCATGGAAATTCTCATGGGGAATAGTTGCGGTGGCGTCAAAATTACAATGAAGGAACGTATGCAATCTACGAAGGGTAGCCTGGAAATCATGACTGACCGCTTTCAGCTCTGGGGGACTCCTTGGTCATCAAGAGCATCTACAACAAAGCACCTTCAGGGACATGAAAGTTCAAACGCGAAAGCTACACCCAGAAAGCTGAGAAACAACATGAACATCTTGACGCATTTTATTGCATGCAGGCCGAACAGCTCATCGAGGTGATGCTCAGCGATGGCGACATGGTGACACCATCCCTTGGGCGCTCGGGGGGTAGAGTGAATCATGCTAAAGCCTTGATCTGAGGAAGCACCAGTAGACTAGGGATTTGTCCTGACTCGACTATCTGTTCGCGGGATGCAAGCTCGAACCATTGCGACGTCACATGCCCTCAGCCATTCCAGCTCACAGGCTTGGGTTTTTTCTCATACATGGAGTGGCCTAAAGTTGGAGATCCTGTTGGCAGGTCATTTGTTGGAGATTTCTTGATTGTGGTTTTATCAAAGGAAACTAGATCCATTTGTTTTGGAAGCTGCCTGGTGACCTTGGGAGCCCCTATAATAACAAGGCCGCAAAACGAATTGGGGGTCTGGGGGATCCTATGGCTCCTAATAAAATCAATAAAGGAAGAGGGATTCATCGGCTCCTATTGAATCCATAAGGACTTGCTCGGTCTAGCTTTCAAGAGAACAGTTGGGGCAGGGTCTTCAGCCTCTGCTTTAAATGGCCTCGTCTTGAACACCTAGTAAAAGCAATTACAATCGAATTAAAATCAATCAAAACCTTTCCAAAATCACTTAGAAAGGTTAGAAAGGAATTTGATCAACACCTTACCAAAATTTTTCTGGCCGAAAACACTTTACTTTATTGGGACCCCCCCCCAAATCGAATAGGGGGTCCAGATTTTTTTCGAAAAGCTGTACTTTATTGGGGACCCCCACACTAAGCGGGATTCGACATTAATGTAACAGGGCACGCCAAGTTCTCGCTCAGGCTATATTCAACACATCAAGTCCATGGTGCCAAAAAGGGAATCAGTTTGAGTTACCACGGCCGATCAAATCAGAGAGAGACGTATCCAGACCACTTCTGATGGCGGCTGGACTTCGGAGATTGCGCCGGGGAGCTGAGAGCAGCCCGAAAGGCGCTTTTTGTCACAGGGGAAGCACTTCTTGGATTCCCATAATGACAGAATCCTTCTTTCCCTGCTGGGAGTGCTCAGAGGAGTGTCGTACAACCATCCCAAACAACTAATTAAACAAGTTGGGAAAAGCTGTTTGGGGTTGGGTCCTGGAGGACTCTTGGGTGTCAAGCATGCCACCATTCCGTTTCTGCCTTGTTTTTAGTGAGTATGGGACAACAGCGCGCTCCATTCCGTGCCCTCTTTCTTTTTCTGTTGGGCCGCAAGTCCAATCTATTCCGAACTGTTTTAACACTGACTACCCAGCATTGGTTTCCTTGTTAACTAGAGGGTGGAGGGGATTGGCTGTCCTTATTTTAGGCTTTCGGAAGATGTCGGAAGTTCGACTGGAGGCTGCCGCCATATTCACTGGCCGATGAAGGCAAGCCGATTTGGAAAGCTGCCTCTACCATCAGCAGGGAGTTTCTCAAAAGAACTTTTATAGACTCCTGCAAAAGGGCCACACAATCCTTTTACAATCCTCATGTATCCCGAGAATCCCTAAGACTAAGAGCCTCAGATTTTGAGAAACCGCCGCAAGAACTTTGATATTACGAATCCTGCTACAACTTCCCAATCTTTTCATGTTGTGTGGCATTGTTTGTCATCAACTTGGCAGTGCCTTTGCCAGGCCCTCCTACCTGTGATAGATTTGGATACATTTCGGCTCAGGGTGAGCAGACGAAAAGATGTGAGAAGCAGCTGGGAGATGCCATGGTAGCCTTCGAGGCACTTGAGTACTTCCACGCGCGTGGTGCCAAGGATGGGAGCACTGCTGTGTTAAAGCTGCGGGCTGCTACCTCCTGGGCACAGCTATCCAAAGGTCTGCTTTTCACCGAGGAAGACAAAGATGGATTCGCCTCAATTCTCAAGACTGCCCAGGACCTCCTTTTCGAGTGCCAAGCAGAGGGCCAACAAGAACAGCAGGTTTGCCTTCTAGATGTGATCGCACACCTGCACCTTATCCGCGGCAACAGCAACAGAGCTTTGAAGTGCGGCCGTGAGGCTTTGACTTTGGCGAAGGAGGTTTCCAGCACTGCGATGGTTCAGCATTTGGAGGGCACCATGGAGCTGACCCGGCGCTTTCGTGGAGAGCCCTCCGCATCGTTTGACCCAGAGAGGCAGATGCCTGATTTGGCCCAACTAGTGCAAGAGGTGTTTCAGGGTGGCGAAAGCAGCCATATCCGAGGCCGCCTGGCTTTGGCAGACTTCCTGGCGCACAAGGCCAAGGCCCATGCTGCGAGCCGCGCAGTGATCCAGGAGGCTGCCCGGAACCAAGATGACTCTGCTGCTGCGCTCCTCCTCTTGGGCAAGATGGACCTCGCCTCCCCAGATGCAGTGCTACGGCTACACCAAGCCGCCAAAGCCTTCCGGTCGGGAAACTTACCGGACGCGGAGGCAACTGCGTTGCAGGCGCTCTCCACAGCGCTCCTAGTACAGGCGCGGCCAGACCCGATCAATTCTTTGCAGGCGGCTGAGGAGGCACAAGCGCTCTTCAAGCAGGTGCAGGATATTCGGGGCCAGGCCATTGCCTTGCAATTGATTGCCAACTGTAGAATGGTTATGCAGGATCGTGAGCGCTGCGTGACTGCAGCCTATGAGGCAATCCGCCTCTTCTCAGAGGCAGAGGATGACCATGGGAAAAAGATCGCGCTGAAGCTGCTGCTCAGCCTTGGGCAGTCGGAGCAGCAAATCCGTGCTGCCCTGACGCGCCGTGAAGTTGCGCGCTTCGATGGGGTCAAGTCCAGCGAGGAAAAACCGGAAGTGTCAGAGGAGCTTAAGGCGATCATGGCCGAGCAGGTGGTTTGGGAATACGCCTGGGTTCCTTCCGAAACCCAAGACCCCAAATACTTCGGAGAGAAGCGGCCGAGTGGCGCGAGGCGCGTCCTGGTCGCCAGCGAGCTACGGGATCCTCGGCTACTTGGGCAGCTGGCACGCTGCCGAGCAAAGGCGACGCAAAAGCCGGAGAAGCCTCCGATGTTTGCGAACCTCATCAATGGCCGGCTTCTTACGGCCAGTGCGCTTCAATCCGTCATGGAGGC